AGCACATCTGAGTATTATTAGTAATAGTAATAGAAGTTATCAGTAAAGATATCATGGGAAAGAGAAAGAGATCATGTTTTGGTATAAAATACAGGAAACATTTTACAGATATTTCTAAATTCTTCAAAGAGCTGCAGAAGGTATCAGCATAATGACCATTCCTGGGCTTGTTCAAAGGCTGCAAAACTCACTTTGAACTGTTTCATGCTGATGTAACAGTTACCTCTCCTTGGCAAAATTTCAACAGCAGAAATATCATTGATTCAGCAGAACATCAAGGTGTGAGGACATACTAACCAAACTGAATTGGAAATGTACATACATTTTAAAATCTACTAGAACTGAGACTCATTTCTCATTTGGATTGCGTTCAACAGGATTCTTGTTTTCCGGAAAAAACATTATCGCTATTTGAAGACCTGGGAAATATTGCTTGATGAATGAAGAAAAAAAATTATACTGATTGTCATCATGAGAAAATTCAAAAAGAAAAAAAAACACAACAAAACAACCCACCTACTGAAAGAAAACAGATTAATCTCTTATCTCTTTCTTAGAGGTTCCAGGACAGGCCTGAATCTGTCAAAGTGAATTTCTCCTAAAACGCACCAGATTAAAAACATGAAGGAAAACAGGAAAACTCACAGACACAGAAAAGTCTCAAATATTAATTCTGATCCACCCATAAGAAGTACTTTTTGGAGGAAATTTTCATAACATGGAGTAAAATTCAATTCTGAATACTTCTTTACTAACAGGAAAAGACTGTTAAGTTGCAGAATTTACTATTATTATATTGTTGAAATTGTTTTTTTCTGTTTTGTTTGGGATTTTTTTTGGCTACTTATACGTGTTACTGTTTCAGCATCGCACACATTGCATAATATAATGGAGAATCGAAAACAAGCAGGATATTTTTAATAGCAAAGCACATTGGAAATTCTGAATTTTCTTCCAAATTTAGGTAAGCATAAAGTTCACTTTTAACACCAGCTGCCTATTATACAACTAAGACCTGTTCCCTAAGAAATGGCTGAAAAAACGGTCAAGCACAAACTTCAGCCAAGTGAAGAATCAAAACAAAAAAGGATTTTCTGTATTTTCTCTTTTTTAAAGTGCTCAAAGTACTTAACTAGCATGATTTTTTTTTTAATTAATCCTACCCTTCTATAGGGTAAGAGTTCTAATCTGCATTGTTTGAGATACAATAAAGCAGCACAGCAAAATACCAAATAGGGTTCATTCACTGACCACAAGAACTTGTCACAGAAACTATCGATACTATGAATCACACCGTAAGAGAACAAAGAGAAATGAAGTTTCTGTACTTCTAAAACTGGATATAGCTTAAGAGGTCTTGTACAGAAATTCAGCTACACATACTACAGTGAATTCATACAAGACTTTCACTTTACCACTATTATATATGTGATTTTGATTATACAAAAAGAGCTCTCCACACCAGCAAACCCCAATATACTTGGCAGGGCTAAGAGAAGCACTGTGATACGCAACCAGCTCTGGGCAGCCCAGCCAAGTTCTGAACGGAAAGTCAGGTGTCGCTCTGTCCCGAAACCAATTACTCCGGTTTCCAATTAATAATTCAAGAGATGCATACCCAGCCACTAAACTCGACTACACATTGGCCAAGTGTCAAGAAGCTTAGGTTAGGAGTAAGGAGACAAAGGGATCTGGAATACAGAAGTGCTGTTTATGTGAGCTGAGGCAGCTCCCAAGTGAACTGTGTATCCAGGGGAAAAAAGGTCTTAGTGCTGACACCGGAGTTTCCCACAGCTTCTATTGGCCTTCAAAGCCGTGTGTGTCATCAGAGTCTCTTGCTGAAGCTGCACAGAAATATCTAACTGGTATTAAAAACAACACAAAAATTGTTCCACAGAACGTAAATTAAAGCCAGATGTGGAGAAAGCAGATGCCTGAAATTTACTGTCATTTCAAGACAGAACAGAAACACTTGCTAATTTTATAATTTACTGAGTAAACTGTCATGCTAAGGAATTGATGTAGAATAGTTACAATTTCCTGATGCATCTCCTGTTAAAGAAATAGGTGCTCTATTGACTAAAACCCTGCCATTAACATCAGAATGGAACCACGAACTAAACCCGTGTTACGATTCCTACTCTGGTTGCACACTGAATTACGATTATACTCTTACCAGTCATTTCAAAAAGATAAGGTAAAATATGTCAAGATAGTATTAATCCTTAGGTTGACAGCACAGCACCGGAAGAGGAATTGAACAATGCAGGTTAAAAAGATATTTAGTAAGTGAGAAGTCTGCCATATCTTACTGCAAACTGTATTGCTTGACTCTGGGCAAATACAGTCTGACCACAACAAAACGATCTAGGCAAACCCAAGAAAAAATTAAACTGTCATAATAAATCAATATTTTAAGAGCAATCCTTTTAAAAAAATAACAAGACTGAGTAGTTTCTCTATCGATGCAAGTTTATTAGCCAAATATTGGTGATTTTATATGGAATTACAACACAATTATGATGTCACTGCAGTAAATTTAAGGTTGAATGAAACGTAACTTCACAAGTCTATTTTCTTTACAGTGGAGCAATTGCACTGGTCAAGTTATACTAGATAAGAAAAAGGAAAATCTTGAGTTACTAGAAGCCACTTTTACAGTCTCCAAATGCAACAACCATCTACAATATCAGTTGGGTGAGTGTGAGTGCAGAAAGGAAAATAACTTCTCAACAGAACAATCAAATATTCTGATTACCAAAACAGGCCATACATAACTTAGGAAACCTCTCTCTCTATTCTGGTTGCAGTTTTTAGAATGCCATGTATCAAGACTATCTGAAAGCAAACTAAAGAGCACTCATTTTAATAAATCTAACGCCTCCATTTCAGAGAACACATTCTGCCAACAGCAGCTCAAAAGTAGGCAAAACCACAAAAAATCATTCTGCAGTCTTAAAACTCATCAATATAAATTGCAGCAACTGCACCATATGAGGAAAAGTAAGCTCAAAATACAAGAACAATTCAG